AACAACCGACAACAACCGACAGCAACAGCCACCAACAAAATCAACAACAACGACGATAACGACGACAACAACATCAACAATGACGACGACGATAACGACGACAACCACAACAGTGTCCGGTAATGTGTGGTAGAGAATGGCAGTCAGCCAGACTGAGTACAGTTGAACATGTATAATAATAATAACACATTTCGCGTAGTTGAGCACTAAATAAAGAAATTCAGTGTTTTTCCCACTTCTGTCTTGTGAGCATCATCAGCAAGGTGTAGTAGCTGCTGATACTGATTTGTCCTCGAGTGTCGAGCTGCACAGTTTCTTCCAGTCTGTCTTGTCCTCTGCTTGTTGCCGGCACCTGGAAAGGTCTTCCATGGTCTTCATGGGCACACCCAGCTTATTCAACTGAGCGAGCAGACTTGTGGCTAGTGTCAACCTTGGCCGCCCACGGGGTGCTTTGTTGCCCTTGTCCAAAGAGCCGCTCATGGCTACTTAGGGTGGCGTGTCCGTGTCCGTCTGTAGCACATGACTGGTCATTCGTAGTCGCCTACATGCAGCTGTGTCATGTATTACTACAAGAACTCAACCAAGTCCTCAGCAGTCATGGAGTAGCGGCAGGTTAGGCAAGTAGGGCTGGGGGCAGAACTGATCCACTCCTTGATGCAGTGGAAGTGAAATTCATGACCGCACTCCAACTTGGATAGAGGACGGTCCAGGGTATCCTGACAAATCACACAAATGGACTCATGACTTATTGCTGACGAGTCTACCTTAGTAGGCACTACATTGATGTACTGCAGCTCCATGGGGTGTATTGCCTGGTCTTGATGGTGGTCATCGTAATACACCCCGTTGAGGTACCACTGATAGACACCCTCCTCCTCCTGAGAGATGAAAGCAGGTCCATCTTCCCTATGCCGAAGGTTGTATCGGTACCACTCCCGTACACGATTGTTACCTTCCCTGCGTATCACCGCTGGCGCATTCTCCCTGTGGAGCCTTCCGTGGTGTAACCACCGTAGAATACAGCATGTGGCGTCACAATAACTGCAGGACCGCCGGCTCTAGACGCCGTTGAGGTAGTACTCGATGCTACCCCGTCCTATCCAAGCAGGTTCATTAACGCGATGAAGGCGACCTCCATAGCACCAGGCGGACTCTCCCCTACTATCAACAAGAGCTGGTCCGTCCTCCCGATGGAGTCTACCATCGACGTGCCAAATTTCTTGCTGCGCGTTTTGATCTGCCAACTCCACAACAGTTCTTATTGGCGTCCGCCTTTCTATTAGTAAAGGACCCGTGGTGAGAGACCACGACCGGTCGTCCACGTCTACACCGAATGTATCAGCCATATCTATTTACTGAGAATAATGTAACAACTCCTCCACAAACGCTTCTACAACTGACGTCTTCTTCATCCCCAGATAGGCGTTAGCCTTTGGGTAATCCTGAAATAAAGATTATTATTATTATCCTGGTTTTTTTCCTCTTGGTGGTTTTGGATAGGAGTTGAAAAGTCCAAAAGGTCAACTGATGACCTTTGCATTACTTGGTATGATTGGATTTTAGCGGGTGATGTCGGTATGCAGCTGGGGAGCGAATTCGACAGGAAGAAGGTAAAGGCCTTGCTTTGCGGTTCACACCTTCACTTCAGTATCATTACATTTACAGTATGGCGTTCACTTGCCACTGCGGTGTGGAACTGACAGGAGTTATACCCTTGTTTCAGCACCTGAGGCGGTGCGTCAAGCGCCGCCTCTTTCTTATAATATATTGTGACAAATGGTAAGTGTGCAGTGCTCCTAGCTCTCTCCCCCAACAAAAGAGCTCTATGACACTGTGCTTTCTGCGGTTTCTTTCGTTTTTACAGTGGAGAAAGGCTGGTGGGAGGCCAGGCCGTGGCCGCACACCTGGCGGGTGCGGCCCATCGAGCCCGTTACTGGGAGGGCCGGCAAGTCGGGCTGCTGTTGCAGTCCGACTACCGGGACGCCATGGAGCGTATCCGGACCCTGTAAGTAAGCACTGCTCTGTCTACATGTATACTTATCCCCCTCGTTATAGCGATACTTACTTGTTTCGTATCCTCTTGTCTTACCCTGCTTCCGTATTCGTGATACTAATAGTGTTTGTGTGCGCTCATGCTTGGTTTTACAGATGATGATGATGTATGTATGAAGGTCTGGAGCTAGCTGCCGTCTTCGGGATGTGCCATTTGTTTTCAAAATTATTTGTAAGTACTTGTAACAGGCGTAGTGTAGTAACTGTGTATGCAGTGTAGTAACAGTGTGTAGTGTTTTGTGATGGTCCTGAGCGGTCGTAATGTGTTTTGTGATGGTCCTGAGCAGCCGTAATGTGTTGGGCTACTGAAGTACACTGCATGAAGGGGTATGCGTGGGTGCTTCGACATATTCTCGTGCTTCCTAAACCCTAGATACGTGTATAGCACTATAACCTAGATGTGTGTGTGTGTGTGTGTGTGTGTGTGTGTGTGTGCCCGCGCATGCGTGCGTGTGCGTGCATTGTGTTCTCTTCTACAGACTCATCCAAGTCCATTTAAATAAAAGTGCATTATAGTAAACAGTATTGTGTTTGTTACAGTGAATATGTGGGGAATGGTGGATATGCCTTAGTGTGACTGGATACCCGCGGGTTGTGACTCTTTGCTGGTCACTCTGGATTCTCCAGTATAGATTCGATGCAGTGCAGAGGGGATTTGTGGTGCGTAGCAACACTGCTTCACTGTGACACCCCTTCAATAATTGTTTTAATGCATGATACTCCGGGCGTAGCCGGTTGATTCTAACTGTATCCTGATCAAAATAGAAATTTGCATCTAATGGACCTGCATGGACAGTAGGCATTTCCCTAATCGGCCGGGCGAAAAATTCGCCGGAAAACAGTGGTTTTGAAGAAATTACCCATCTTTTCGCCGAATTTTCAAAAATTCGCATGTTGAATTCCCCGAAAACCGATGCTTCAGTGCTTCAACAGGGTGTATGTAAATGTACTTGACGTAATGGGAGCGGTGACTTCAAGTACTATGTTGAGCCGAATTCTGATCTTGGAGCTCATAATATGGCCGAATTTGAACATTCTCGATCGAAAAGCCGATTAGGTATGCTCTGTATGGGCAACTTGTCAATCAGTGCACATCTACGATGTGCAAATAAAACGAATGCACGGAACGTGAACTTGTTTGCTGCACATCTACGAAGTGCGAATCATGGAGTAGTATAATGACACGTGTACTAGTACACCTCGTGTTGCACTGCGTCTTTTCCACACGCATAGGACCTCTGAAGGTCACACGCTCCGCGTGCGTATGCACGCATGCGCAATATGTCATTCACTGCATGCAATGCACATCTACGATGTGCAAATCAGGGAATAGTACGTATTTTACTACTCCCCGGTGCGAATGCACCGAGCGTGCACAAGTCACGTTCGCCACCTATGGCGAAAAGAACCTTAAGGATGACATTTATGGCATGCCAGGGGTCAAAGGTCAAACTCTGGGGGTCCCGGGGCCAGACCCAGCACGACCGACACACTGTGCCTTATTTGGCCCAAAGGTCAAAGGTCAAAAAGTGTGCCAGAACCTGCCCCGCACTTACTACTTCCGTGCTTTTATAAGAACGAAATGGCGCTTTTAGTGACATTTTGCATACAAATCCCCATCTAGTAGGGCGCAGTCACCCAGTTTCGGTGGAAGTGCGCGAGTTCGATTGGGATTCAAGTAGGAAGGGAGCGTCGCAGCTTCCTCGGACCAAGACCATTCGACTCAGCACCCAGAAGACTACAACTGGTGAAAATTTGATTTTAGGGTATACTTCCCCTTTAAAATGCATTTTATGGTTCAATTCATCATCAATCAAGTCAGGGAGTCGTAAAATACCACTCCCTGGTTCAAGTAACTTTTAAAAATCTTTACTTCAACTAAGTTCAAGAGTCCATATTTATAAACCCAAGAGGAGGGAGTTCAATTCCGGTCACTGAAAAGCGAAAACTGCAGTCACAGCTCGCCTGTACAAAGTGAATGGGCGCCTCGTGACTGCTGTTATTTCGAGATGCAGTTCGAGGCCCGAGTATCTTCTCCCGATCCCTGGATCCCGCGGCCTTTTCGGCCTTGTCGATGCTATTTTTAGGTAGTTGAGGTCATTCATTACATTAGGGAGGTTTAGTCCCACGTAATCCGTGGGTACTTTACGTGTGTGTACCACGTGATACTCAGTGACCCACGTACAGACGTTTTCTGATTCACGACATGCCGTGTATGGAGGCTCACCCACGCAAGTTCTGCCAGAACGTGGGTGAAAATCAGAATGGAGCGCATTGTGCAAGCTGTGAGAGTGCTCAGCTGAAGAAGTTTCCGAAGCACGAAATCAAAATATTGGATGAGCTTCTTAGGCCCGGGTAGCTTCGTCTTTGACCAGGTTTGGGCCTTTCGCTTTATGCTTTTGTTTGTTCCGTGTGACTAAACACAACATTGCAACGTGGGTGCCCTTCATCCACTTTACGTGGATCACCCACGTACGCGTTCCGTTACGTGGGAACTAAACCTCCCTAATAGAATGTTAGGGAGGTTCCGGAGTACGATTTTTCGTGCCAAAATCCGTGGAGGCTCTACGGATTTTTTATACGTCGTTTTCGAGCAGTGAAAAGTTCCGGGGTACGAGTGACTCGTACGGAACTTATGTGTTTGCCGTCATTGCCTAGGTTACGATCGCAAACACGTCACATTCCCGCGCTATGTCTTTTTATTTTGAAAATTTGTACCGAAATCAAAACTTCCCGCGAAAAATCGATGTTTCTCGTACCAAATTTGTACGCGAAAAATCTTTCTGCACCCGATGACGCAAAATCTCCATACGAAACATGGTTCATATGAAAGCCAGTCCACACGGATTCTCCGTGCCGAAAAATCGTATGGAGCACGCCTGGAAAAAATCCGTAGCGCCCATACGGATTTTGGCACGGAAAATCGTACCCCGGAACCTCTCTATTACCTTTCCAATGGTGCCACACATGTAGGCTTGTCCACAATTTAATGTTTTCAATTATTTCTGAATTTTGGTTGGATTTTCGCACTGTGATTTTTTTTTGAATTTTGGCCTCATCAGGATTGAATTTTGGCCGTTTTTGGAGAACGACAGTTGATGATGACGAACCCGGAGCCCAGTTTGCTCTCGATAAAAACTCACACGACAACGTTGATCATTTCTTATTGTCAACTAACTTTGATAACTCATCGCGAAAGCAAAGAAAATGCAAACCTCTCACGGCTGAGGTAAAGAGAACAAGACCCTCTTTCTCTCACGACAACTCCTCCAAGCAGGGAGCAACAGCAATATCAAAAGCAAAGAAAGCGCCGCGCGTACGGCACATGCAGGGCCATATGCGCAACCTACGACAAATTAGCAGCAGCGCTGGTACAACGGAAATGTACAGACGCCGGAAACGTAAAGGTCATGAACCCATGCCGCATGCGACCCCCTGCCGGCGTGGACAGGGTGGCTACAGCTATAAACGGACTCATATCGAGCCAAGAAAGATACGCGACAGATACAACTCAAGCATATAGAAACAAGAAATAATTAGTGCAGCGTAATCTGGCATAATGGCAAATATTGCATAGTAGTGAAGGTGAGTCCTGAACAAGCAGCGTACAAAGCTTGCAACACGGACATGCAATTGTTGCATAGTAGAACAATGCCCGTCACGCACCAAAAGAAGCAGAACTCAGAGCTAAATAGAGGCTCTTCTTATCAATTCTCCCCTTCCTCGATATCTCATATCGAAAGTGTGCCATAACGGAGATCTATGCAATACAAATGGAATCATAGTAGAACTACTACAAATTGTAGTATCACACAGATAACTAAGAATCTAACTCGTGATACACTGAATGGCAATAATGTGTCACTGCGATGACTTCACTTGCATGTGTCGCATACTACAGTTCACAATGTTACTCACTCTGGTGTGGCTTCCAATGGGCACAACCTTGCAATAGGTCGCACAAAGGTCTTCTCACCAACCTTCACCTTCGCTACTCGTACGTGACCGTCTCGGCCTGGATACGTTTCCAGCACTCGTGCCAATGGCCAGTGCCCTCGTGGTGTATCGGGTGACAGAAGTAGCATGACATCACCGACTTGAACTTCACTTTGAGGCTTCTTCCACTTCTGTCTGGCGCTCAGGCTTGGTAGCCACTCCTTGATCCATCTCTCCCAGAAGTGGCGCACCAGTTCTTGTACTCGTCGCCACCGTCGTTGAGGATTGAAGCTCGTGTGGTCGACTGTTGATGGAGCAAACACACCTCCCATCTGGCCGAACAGGAAATGATTGGGTGTGAGTGGCGTCTCATCGAGCGGATGGCTTGACTGATAGGTCAGGGGCCTCGAGTTGATTAGGCTTTCTGCACCAACCAATGCACTTGTCAATTCTTCGTCTGTTGTCTCAGCATTTCCAAGTATGGCGTAGATAGCACGTTTGGCAGCTCGGACCATCACCTCGAACGATCCTCCAAAGTGTGGAGCGGCTGGTGGATTGAACTGCCAATGAATGCCCTGATCGGCGGTCGTCCGTACTATGCAGTCTTGATCCAAAGCATCGTGTAACTCCTGAAGCTCTCTCTGCGCGCCGACAAAGTTGGTTCCATTGTCTGATAACATATGCTGTGGTAGACCACGGCGTCCGACGAATCTGTAGAAGGCATTGAGGAATGAGCTTGTGTCGAGTCCATAGGCAAGCTCCAAATGCACTGCGCGTGTAGCGAGACACGTAAACAGACATAGATAGCGCTTCTGCCTCTTTCTGCCACGCCCTTGGACCGTGGTAAATGGACCGGCAAAATCTACTCCGGTTCTTGCGAAAGCTCGGAAGGATGGTGTGATCCTGGTGCGTGGAAGTGGAGCCATTATCTGATGTGCAGGCTTGGCCTTCAGCAGCTTGCATCTCGGACACTTCCGTTCCATCTCACGAATTGCTTCCCTGGCGGCATTGATCCAGAATCGCGCACTGATATTAGCGAGGATGTGGTTAGTGCCTCCCACATGCTGAGCTAACTCATGATAGTGCCGAATGATGAGCTGGGTGACGGGATGATGACGCGGTAAGATGATTGGGTGCACTGTATCCTCTGGCAGGTACTCTGCATATGCCAGTCTTCCTTGACAGCGCAGTACACCGTTGTCGTCGATCATTGGGTTCATGGGGCTTAATTCGCTTCTTGCCGACACCACTTTTCTCTGGCCGAGCACCTTGATCTCGTCCGAGAAGGCATCATGTTGGGCCATCTTCAAAACCTCGGTCTCTGCATCACTGATCTCTGCTGATGAGAGCGGACCTGTCATTCTGTCGGACTTGATTGTACGACAATTGGTCACGAAGCGTCTCACTAACGCCCTTGCGCGGAGTAGTCGGCTCCATGATCCGAAACGCTCGGGGTCAAGCCGCCATTGCTGCTGTTGCTGGTTGCTAGGACCTGTCGTCTTGTCATTGTCGGCCGCTGTCTGAAACAGGCTTGTAATTGCGTTGGTCTGCTGTTGTTCTTTCTTCTCTTCCTTGCGCATCGTCTCGACATTGACCTTGGTCTCCACCCGCTGTGGCCAAGTTGTAGCATCCTGTAGTAGATATGATGGACCATTCCACCACATGCTGTCATCTACTTGTTGCACTGAACACCCTCGTGATATCTTGTTGGCTGGGTTTTGCTCGGTTGGTACATGATGCCATTGCGCTGGTTCCGAGAACCCTTGTATTTCGCTGACTCGGTTGGCCACGAACGTTTTATACCTCTTGCTTTGGCCACGGATCCAATACAGGACGTTCATGCTATCCGTCCAGAACACCAGGGCTGACTTCAGTAGTGCCAATGCGTTGGCGATCTGCCTAGCCAGCTGTGTCGCAATCACTGCTGCTTGTAACTCCAGGCGCGGGATGCTAGTTGTTGACAGAGGGGCTACTCTCGATTTCGCTGCAATCAATCGTGACGTTACTTCTTCTGTACTGCCCTGCACTCGGTAGTAGGCAACTGCTCCATACGCCTTTTCTGAAGCGTCAGCGAAGATGTGGCATTGGACGTTTGAAGCTACTGGCTGATCCGGTGGCTGGAGACACCGCGGAATGGCGACTGATGCAAGCAGTGGGAGTTCTTCAAACCACTGCCGGACAGCTTGGCACAGCTGCGGGTCCAATGGATCATCCCAAGCGACACCGTCTGCCCACATATCTTGCAGCAACATCTTGGCTCGGATTGTCAGAGGAGCCAGAAGACCCAAGGGATCGAATATTGTCGCCACTCGTTTCAGCACATTCCGCTTTGTGAACTGAAATGTTTCCGGTAGCGGTGAGAGCTTGAATGAGAAGGCGTCACTAGTTGCATCGTATTGCACTCCTAGCGTCTTCACTGAGGGCAAATCACTTTTACTGAGGTCGACTTGCAGTGCTCGGTCTGTTGCTGGTATCTGCTCTAGTACTTCCTTTGAATTGGAGATCCACTTGCGAGCAACCATTCCAGTGTCACTCCACAGATCTGAAAGTTGTCGATAGAGGCTGATTGCATCTGCAACTGATGGTGCTGAATCCAGACTGTCATCCATGTATGTCGACTGAAGGACGGTCTCAGCTGCTTGCGGCCATTTGCTACTGTTTGCCTTAGCGTGCTCCTGGGTGACCAGCTGTGCGAGGAATGGTGAGCAATTGACACCGAACACGACTCTGGTGAATTCATACTCGTCTGGTTCATTGTCCCGCCCTGGGTCACTGCGCCACAGAAATCGGTGGTACGGACGATCCTCTTCAGCAAGATGAATTTGGAGATACATCTCACTGATATCACAGGCCACTGCGATCGGATTCTTGCGGAAGCGAAGTAGTACTTTCGCTAGATCCTGTTGCAGCTTAGGACCCTGATGTATCGTATCGTTCAGCGAGACTCCATTAAGGCGAGCAGATGCATCAAACACGATACGCACCTTGGTAGTACTCTTGTCCGGTCTGAGTACTGGGAAGTGTGGTAGCAGCCATTTGGATGGTGGAGGGGGCTCGCCTGGTAAGACTAGTCGAACGTACCCTTTTTCCACATACTGTTGAATGATTTTGTCGTATGATGCTGCTACATCTGGTTGCTTTGCTAAACGCCGTTCGGTACTACGGAGTCGCTGCATTGCCATCTCTTGGTTGTTGGGCAGTTGTGGGCCGTCTTTACGCCACGGCACACTTACTTGATGTCTCTGGTCGTTCTTCACCATTGATTTGACAGTTGCATCCACGATGGTCTGATCATCTGGACTGAATGCGGTTTCCAAATCCGAGTCGGTCTTTTCGAGCTCCCAGAACCGTCGGAGGAGAGTGTCGGCTTCCATTTCGTGCCTGTCACCTGCGTACAGAGTGATGGCGGTATGTGCATGTGACGTTGTTGCCGTTGGTCCGACACAAGTCCAGCCCAGTGGTGTTAGACGGGCAATCGGCTCACCTGGTTGCCCACGAATGTCCCTCAGCGATTCGTGCAGGTTAGCATGATCATTTCCAATGAGGAGATCCACGCCTCGATTGTCATTAATGGCTGGAAACTGGATGCCCTTCAAGTGTTTCCATTTTGGACCATGTTGACGCCAGTCAATTGCGGGGAGGTCTCCCACAACTCGTCGCGTTGTTCTTGCTTCTATTCGAGCTGTCTCACGTCCGTCCAGGCCAGAGATGTTCACAGAGACAGGAGTAGTGGAGAATGTTTCCTGCCGTCCATTGAGCGTGCTGATTGTCACCTTCTCAGTATGACCCTGTAACCCTAATTCAGCGGCTACATCAGCATTTATATATGACATCGTACTCCCGTCGTCGAGAATAGCATTCACAACCACTTGTCTGTTGGCGTTGCGTAGTATCACTGGAACAGTTCTCAAGGACACTGGTGTAGTTGTGGTACTTGGTTTGTTGCACTCCCCTTCCCTGACAGACAATGCCGTTCCATGCACCTTGTTGTCTGCCTTGCTAGAGGCCTTGTCGCTGCTCGGTGAGGACTTGCTGGTGTGGTTAC